AAGCTGGGGGAGCATAAGCACAAGAAGCTGGGAGGGAGCATAACCAGGACAGCTGACCCAGACTGGCCAAAGGGATGTTCCATACCATATGATGTCATGCTCAGTATATAAACTGGGGGGAGTTGGCCAGGGGGCAGCAATCGCTGCTTGGGGATGGTCTGGGCATTGGTCAACAGGTGGTGAGCAATTGCATTGTGCATCACTTATTTTGTATATTCTTCTGTCATTAGGGTTTTTTTTTGTTCCCTCTGCTGTCCTATTAAACTGTCTTTATCTCAACCCACCGGTTTTACTTTTTTTCTTCTGATTTTGTTCCCCATTCCACTTGGGGTGGGGTGGGAGGTTGAGCAAGCGGCTTTGTGGTGCTTAGTTGCCGACTGGGGTTAAACTACAGTAACAGCAAAAATCTACCAGTTAAAGAAAATAAATAAAACTCGATGATTTTAAACACTACATTTTTGGATTTTTTTTTTTTTTTTACATGGCAATGAGGCTGGTTTCTGACTGAAATTAATACTGCTTTTCCACTCTAACAGAAGAGATCTTTGGTAACTATATAGCATTTGTGCAATTGAGGTAACAAAGACTTGTACTTCTGATGGTGTTTACTGTATAACAGTGGATCAGTACTTAACTCACATTTTTGTTTCTGTTCTACTCCCAGCCATAGTGGAGCATTGTTAGTGTCATAGTGGTCATAGTGCTAGTGGAATTAAAAAAATAACAAAACATAAAAACCAAAAAATGTTCTTGTCATTCACCACTATTAACTTTAAATTTCCTTCTCCTTTCTCTCTTCCTTCCCTCTGCTGTTCTTCTGTATGTACAGATGTCTAGGAGACTGAAAAATTTGTTAGATGTCATATTAATCCATTGGATACATTAGCCTTCCATTACTGTGGACTAAGTTTCTGTTGTTCTTTTCCACTTTTTACAGCATGTATGAAAAAGGTGTTATAATACATCTCGTTTGATATTTAATAAATGCTAATTGCAACTGTGTAGTATTTGGAGACTTCTACTTGATACAGTTCTATTTTGAAACAGTTTCAAATTTGGGGAAAGCATTGCATTCATGAGCGGGTGAGAAGAAACAACACTTTTATTGGACCAGCCTGTTTCTACATGGCTTCACTGGCCATGTAGACCTTTTCCCAGCACAACCTGTCACAGTGTGAGTCACTGACTTGAGTAGCTTTGTGGTACTGCAGAACACTATAGCTGTTCACCTGGCTCTAATAACTGATTTTGAGCCAAAAAATATTTGAAATTTTCATTAATCTTATGAAAAGTTTGTCCTTTGGAAATGTTTAGGGGTTCAGATTGTGTGTTTGGGTTTGCAGGGTTTTCTGCTTTCCAGCACCCCCCACATCCACACCCCACTTCCCAGGAGATCACCTCATTGCCACTTCTGACATTTACACAAGATTAGCACTGGAATAGCTTTGTCAATCTGCAGGGAGCAATCACTTCTCCTGCATCAGTAAATGAGAAAGAGCATTTTATTCCAGAAACCTAGCTATATTCTTCTGAATGATAGATATATCAGCTTGTTTACATTTTTGCTGAAATTGAGAAAAAAAGGAGTGGCTTGATTTGAATACATATATGAAAACCTTCTTTACTATTTAAACACAGTATGCAGTAAGAATTACTAGAAATTCGTCTTTCTGAATGAGTAGTACAGATGATTAAAAAGATCAAATGGCCTTTGGCAAACACTGACCATTTAGGGGGAAAGCTGCCCTTCTTCTATAATATAAAACCAGACAGTGACTCTGTAAAACTTCAGAATACCAAAGAATAAAATTCAACAGGAAAAATGAGGCAATGCAGACAGGTATTAAAAATGGTCTTCGGGTAAAAATAGAAGATCCAGCTAAGGTTATTAAAACCTCCAAGTTTAGCTTTTAATGTCTCATTAAATTCTAATGGTACATCTTTCACATGCTTACATTAGCAAGCATTTATTTCTTCACAGACAAAAGAAGAATATTACTTAAAATTATGTTATGGGACAGTTTTGAAGTCCAGAAAAATTAGAGTTCATGTTAAACTAGTTCTTTAAATCATTCAGGTAAGTCTTTAAATGCTACAGCCCATACTGCAGACATGAAAACATCTCTATTGCTGTGAAAAACAATCAAAGCTGATATCAGCTGCCCAATTTAAAGAAATATATTTTTTATATGTATTATATTATTTTGTTGTTGTTGTTGTTTTATTTTCCTGGACTTAGACAAATTCATAGATTTCACTAGGCAAATTAAATTTAACACCTTTAGGAATGGGTGTATAAATTTTTATAACTGTTATCCTTGTTCTCTCTGGAGAATGCCCCCCTATTTACAGTTTAGAAACTCCCTTGGCTGAAACAGATGAGTCTATGTATAAGTAGCCACTTCCATCCTCTGCGTTCCCTCCTTCAATCCTTAGGAAACCCTGGAGGTTCACACTGGGCAACAAGAGCAGTGACTGTAGTACAAAGATAGGCTGGCTTGGCACAGATTCCCCCACATCTAGCAGATCTTTGCTCTAGAAATGGTATAGGTTCAATGAATGGGCTTCAGAGCAGATGCCAGCATTCATTTCTGGCAGACAGAAGGAGACATGTGCCTTGTGAAAGAAGGCTCTTGCTAGGTTTCAAGGTATTAATGGATAAGCATTGGAAGAATGTGGCACAGGGACAGGCTTGCCTATCATCCATGAAGACTACTAGAAAAAGAAAAATCTCCTTGATGATTATGATAAAGATTATAAAGAAAATTGATGTGAATGCCCTTCCAGTACAGTTCTAGAACGCCAGAATCTGTCTGTCATAAGATACTGCCGTTAGTACAAAGAAATCTGGGGACCATATTTTACAGATAGGAAACATGAAAATATAAGCCATTTCAAAAAATCATTTAAGAACAATTTCCAGGTATGATTCTAAGTCACTTTTTTCAGGAGCTTATACAAACAAAGAAACAACCAGGACCAACTTTTGGTCTGTAACTAGTGAAAAATTAAGAAACAGCACTCATTGTTTACCTTCCTTTTCTTTGTTAATTGATATGGAAAAGGAAACTGGGGAAAAAAGCAAAAAAAAAAAAAAGACTTAAACTGAAGAACAATTCCTGACATGGCAGAAAAAGGTGATTTCAGCGGACCTGTGGCAGTCTGCACAAACCAAGGATCTTTCTCTCACCCTTCTCCAAAATAAAGTGAGACAGTATAATTTTGGGCAATTCACTCTTTGGTCAGCTGTATCCACCCCTTATTCTATACCACCTATGTCATGCCCGGGTCCTACACTTTGCAATACATTCCAATTAATCACCATCACTTTTCCTGTCTTTTGATGTATACACACAGACATCATTCCCTTCTTTTTCCTCTATCACAAGCAGAAAGTCCTCAGTAAGAAGTCACTTATTTCTGAGACAGGTGCCAGGAGCTAGAACTGTTATTATCCTAGGTGGGTATTATTGTCATATTGTGGAAGCAATTCAATATATAAATGTTAGACATCAGTCCTAAGTTACATATTTTAATTATTTTACAGTGACTAGAGACTGCTGCAGCTTTTTTTTTCTTTTTTTCTCATATGTACATGCATAGCCTTATGATATGATGAGGATGGGGACGAGGCTATTACTAGATGACACTGTAAGAATCTTTACCTCCCTAAAATCCTTAGCTCTGAGATGATTCTCATAGCTTTCATTGCCAAAAGCCTGAGGATGCATCTAATTTAGACAAGGGTTCTGTATTTCCAAATTATGGTTCGCTTTTTTTTTTCTGCTGGCTGTTTGACATTGTGTTGTTGTTCTTGTTGTTGTTGTTATTATTATTTACTTATTTATTTATTTTTATTATCATCATCATCATCATCATCATCATCATCATCATCATCATCTATAATTTAACGGCTCTCTTTTTATAGCCATGTTAAGCTCCCCACAGTCTAAGAAAATATGTTATTGACCATAGTTTACATCCATAATAATAAAAGAATTTATCATTTCAGCAATTTTATTTGCTATTTGTAAGGTTTTCTATCCTATCTACTCAGGCTTCATTTTGTTCTGAAGACCAAAGGGTACTTTAATATGCGGATGAATCACAGAAGCAAACTATCTGTCTACCCAAATTTTGTATTTAACAGGTAAAATCAATAAGGATTCTCTAGCAAAGGACAGGCTGTATCATTTCTGTTAGTACTGCATCCCTATGCTGAGTTCATGCCAACACATGAAAGTTATAAAACTATAATTTTAGGTGAGATTATAATTTCTCATTTCAGAATAGGAAAAATTTCTTGTTTCATTTTACCAGAATAATTATAGTGGTATTAATGAGTAGGAAACTATAACTGGTAAAATTTTCCCAGATTAAGAGGTTAACAGTTTGTCAAAGATACTGGGCCCTTTCCACACTTGTAGCAAGACCTTTTGGCTCCTGAACCAAATCCCAATGTCTTTCCCTTCCCTTCCCTTCCCTTCCCTTCGTTGGATTATCTGACTTTTGATTAAAATATTATTGATTTGTTGGAGGTTCACAGTCAGATTTTCATCTGGCTTTATTCATTTAAATGAGGCATCTAATTTAGAAGCCTCTTTTCCTAAGATTTAACTCTAGTCATTAGAAAGAGATAGCACACTTCAGACTGTGATTCATCCTCCTTCTATCTTCTCCTTCCCACTTCTTGTTTCTTCCCAGATGTGACTTTTGAACTACTTTTGAGAATATGATATGAGGATGCGGTTTTACTGGAACACTGGTAATACTGAGTATTAATTATTAGAATCTAAAATATAGATGGCTGAATATTATTTGCATTTTAATTGTATTACAGATAATAGGGTATCTTTCCCATTGGACTAAACTGTTAGTAATTACCACAGTCACTTCTAATGAAGTTGATGAGATTTGAAAAGTGTATTTTCATTTCTTGTCTTTCAGTTTCTGGCTTGGACCTTCAAATGGTAAGGCATTCTGCTAGGAGAGTTTTCATGTCTGTCTTATGAGCTGTTGTGGGATGACTTTGCACTGAAGTTTTCAGTTCCTGCATCTGGTGGCACAAATGAAATGTTGTAAGTGGTTTTATTAATTTTTAATTTTTCATCTTGAGTTTTCATAATGTTAGGTAACACAATGGTAGTTTTAGCTCTCTGCTAATGTCAGAGATAACAGCCTGAGAGTTTCAGATTAGACACTTGGGAAAAAAATCCACTAGAAGGGCAGTGCAGCACTGGAATGGGCTACCCAGGAAGGTTGTGGAATGCCTTTGAAGATTTTCATGCCTTGGCTGGAAAAAGCCACAGCTGGCTTTTTCTAGTATTGGGCATAGCCCCATTCTGAGTAGGAATTGGCCTACATGCACTCCATAGACATCTCTCCTAACCAGCACTTCTATCATATTGTGATAATGCTGTAGCTCAGTAAAACAGAAAAGGTAAAAAGAGTCAGCTGCCATCACAAGGACTGTATATTAGGATAAGCATCCTGGAGAATTACAGGCTTTAGACTTCTTGATTTCAAGGAACTGCTCCATATCACACCAACATACAGTGCTAAAAAGGGATGGCGAGAAAGCTGATCAATCCTCATATGGAGGTGATAGAGTAGAGAGGTATATCACAAACCGTAGTCTCTCCATTTTCATGGCTTATTTTATCTGATAAGGAGTTGCACCATTGCTTGCACTGGGCTGCCTGCAAATTACACAGTTGTGTCCTTGTGACCTGAGTCAAACAGCGCAGCCTAGGCAGGAAAAACAAGGATCATGATCTAGAGATTGTTCAGGTGGTCTCTAAATCTCATATATCACTATATTACCATCAAAGGGTGGTTCATGGTCAGCCTTATATAACTGGCATGTATTAATGGAGTTCTAACTGATATACCTTTATTTTTTTCTAAATAAGTTCATTGTTTCCTCTTTGCCATAGGCAAATACATTATTCCCACTATACCTCAGCAGAACTGATAGAGTTAATACAGAGCACAGCACAGCGCTTCTGTTCTTGTATTTTCACATATCACTAATGCAAACAGACTCACCAACAAAACTATTTAAACTGCATGGTCTCCTCAAGTGTCTTTACCCTAGTAAATATTCCTTGATGCATTGAGATTCGTCAGTGAATGTAGGAAAAGAATCATTTCCTTTTTATATTCTCTCTAATGCTGATAAATCAAAAATGTTGATAGGTTAAACTTGAAATAATAGCCACATCCTACAGGAATCTGCAGCAAAGGAAATGGATGTTACTTTATGGAATGACTGTAAAAAATGAAGTGTTTAGGTAGAGATTAAAAAAACTCCTACAGATAGCATTCATCATATTTTTCTCTTAATAGGAATACTGTCATACTTGTGTATGCTAATACTATTTCTGCTGTTCAAATAAAACACTCCGTACAGGGATCAGTGTTTCAGGTAACAGTGAGCAAACTCAATGCTTTGCTGTGACATCTCTATTGTACTTTGCATTTTACCTCCTTTTTGATACAGATAAATTCCGTTACTGTGTTCTGCCTGCTTAAATGAAAGATACATTTTTCTTCAAGATTGGGCAGATCAGTGAGGGCCATAAAATATTAATGATGAAAGCTTGGGGAATTAGATGTGTCTGTGACTATAGGTTTATCTTGTTGGCAGAGCTTTCTCAGTGTAACCTATTTCTTTTGTGTGATCTCCATCAGAAATGATATACTGTAAAAAATATTATGTCTGTTCAGATTGAAATATATGCGTTTTTTCAGACCAGATAAAGGGCCTGAATTTTTTTATTTAATGATCTCAATTTATTTAACAGCTTTATAAATTTTGCAGCACAGTTTTGTTGTTCAAAAGCAGAGCTGTTTGCCAGTATGCCATGGAGCTAGAAGAATGGATAGAAGAATGGAGAAAGAAAATGATAGCTTCATTTGTAATCTTGTGCCGCGACAGGGAAAAGATACTTAACCAGTTAATTGCCATGGTGGTTACAATGTCTGCTTCAGGAGAAGCTGTTAAGAGACTTCTAACTTTTGACTAGTCCCTGTCATTTGGGGATTGAAGGGGAATGGAAGTGATCATACCCTCTTCCTTTCCAATATTTTTTTTTTTTTATCCCATGTGGTTGGGGCTTGCTTATGTTAAACTAAGTTGTATCAAAACTTCTTTCCCAAAGGCTGGAGGACTGAGTGAACCCTTTCTTTGGTGGAGGGATATTTTCTTTTATCTTCCTTCTTGCACTACCTCACACTTCTTGATTTATGTCTTTGTTAGTTAGCTGCTGTTAACATGGGTTAGTTAAATAGAAGCAGCTCTTGTGTTGAAGAGGCTGCCATTGTTTTCAAATTAATGTTAACCTGTGCAGGGTAGATTTTAATGAATTATCCAGATAGCGACATGCTTAAGAACGGGTATCCCGACCCTGCAATGAAGAACAGAAAGAATTACATAAGAACACGTGAGCAGCTCTAGTGCCGGCACGATCCACAGCAGACCGCTCCAGCGTGGTACACAAGGGGGTTTCCTGAACAGTGGGAACCTCAGGGGGAGCCAAGAGAGCTGCCAGGAGCCCGCGGCTAATGCGACAGCAGCTGACGAGACCTGGACAGGGCCAGGAGCAAGGGCGGCCAAGCCCCTCTGCACGTATAAAGCAAGCCCTTAGGGAGCACTAGCAACCAGGAGCACCACCCACAGGGCGGGCAAAGAGAGCATGGCACATCAGCAAGGGCCTGGCGCGGCAGTTTGCGTGGCAGTTCATGTGGAAGGGTGTGCAGGAAGGGCGCTGAAGCTCTGCCAGCTCGACCAGGGAGAAATGGTATCCATCTGACAGAAAGCCGTGGCCTCTCTAAGCTCTGCATCCACCATGACTGATGCAGCTTCCCAGACAGAGCTCCGGCAGGAACACGCTGCCATGCAGGTGTCAGGCTGCAGGGTGTGCCCTACCCTTACACCAGTACTGGATGGCAGCAGTGAGCACACCTGTGGGAGGTGCGCCCAGGGAGAGGAGCTCCTCCGCTTAGTGACAGAGCTCTGGGAGGAGATGAGTAGGCTGACAACTATCAGGGAGAGCAGGAGAGAGAGAGACTACTGGAATCACACCCTGCCTTCCCTGAGACAGGCCCAACAGGCAGACAGGATGCATGATACGGAGGATTCCCTATCATCTCTCCACCTGGCTGAACACAGTGACTTAAGGGATAGGGGGCAATGGCAACAAGTTCCTGCCTGGTGCAGCAGGCGCGTCTCCTCTGTGACTGCCCCAGCTTCCCAGGTGCCCTTGCATAATAGGCTCTGCAAGTGGAACCAAACAATGATGAGGACAATAGTTTATCTAGCTTGGAGGTGTCATCAAGGTTACGTTGGCCTATGCCCTGCATCAAAACTGCTTCCATAAAGAAAAAAACGGAGATCCTTGCCATAGGAGACTCCGTTCTGAAGGGAACAGAAGGCCCAATATGTAGACCAGACCCACTTCTTAGGGAAGTCTGCTGCCTCCCTGGGGCCCAGGTAAAAGATGTGAAAAGAAAACTTCCTACCCTGGTTATGGCCCTCAGATTATTACCCATTATTGCTTTTTCAGGTAGGCAGCAATGAAGTTACAACTAGAAGTCCGAGGGCAATCAAGAGAGTCTTCAGGGCCTTGGGATGACTGGTTAAGGGATCAGGAGCACAAGTAGTGTTCTCCTGTATTCTTCCAGTTGCAGGGAATGATGAGGGAAGACACAGGAAGAGCCAGCAGATCAATACCTGGCTCTGAGCCTGGTGTCACTGGCAGAATTTTTGGGTTTTTGACCATGGGTCAGTTTACACAACACCATGCCTGTTGGTGACAGGTGGGGTACACCTGTCTCAAAGAGGGAAAAGGAT